GCTTCTGGAGATGGTTGATCTATTTTGGGGTAAGTCTATGCGTGCATATAAGAAGAGGATGTTTACTTCCTAAAGCAACTTACGCTGGATTTTCTATAAAACCTAATTATAGAAATTATATTTTGCTTTCCTTCCATGACTAGAGGAAAAAAGCTAAGAGTTTGTTGAGTTAAGAAAACATATTTGAGGATGTGTAAGGCAAGGCACCTGATGAAGTGCCCACCGTCCTGAGTTAAAGTCATATCTGAGCATTGAAAGGAAATAAAACTATGCCTTAGCATTTATTTAAAGAGGGATGTGTTAAAGAAAGATATTGGAAGACTGCTGTCATGTCACCCCTAACCCTTCTCTTCATTAAACTAGACATACCCAATTCCAGCCGTTGTTCTTCATATGTTTTAGCCTCCAGTCCCCAAATCATCTTTGTTGCTCTTCTCTGCAGTCTTTCTAGAGTCTCTCAACCTCATAATAATAATAATAATAATAATAATAATAATAATAATAATAATAATAATAATAATAATAATAATAATAATAATAATAATAATAATAATAATAAAGTTGGAAGGGACTTTGGAGGTCATCTAGTCCAACCCCCTGCTCAGGCAGGAAACCTTATACCATTTCAGACCAATGGCTGTCCAGTCTCTTCTTAAAAATTTCCAGTGTTGGAGCCTTCACCGCTTCTGGAGGCAGGTTGTTCCACTGGTTAATTGTTCTCACTGTCAGGAAGTTTCTCCTTAGTTCTAGGTTGCTTCTCTCCTTGATTAGTTTCCATCCGTTGCCTCTTGTCCTGCCTCCGGGCGCTTTGGAGAATAGCTTGACTCCCTCTTCTTTGGGGCAGTCCCTGAGATACTGAAAGACTGCTATCATGTCCCCCCTTGTCCTTTTCTTCATTAAACTAGACATACCCAATTCCAGCAACCGTTCCTTATATGTTTTAGCCTCCAGTCCCCTGATCATCTTTGTTGCTCTTCTCTGTACTCTTTCTAGAGTCTCAGCATCTTTTTTACATTGTGGTGACCAAAACTGGATGCAGTATTCCAAGTGTGGCCTTACCAAGGCCTTGTAAAGTGGTATTAACCCTTCACGTGATCTTGATTCTATCCCTCTGTTAATGCAGCCCAGCACTGTGTTGGCTTTTTTGGCAGCTGCAGCACACAGCTGGCTCATATTTAAGTGATTGTTCACTAGGACTCCGAGGTCCCTCTCACAGTTACTACTATTGAGCAAGGTGCCACCTATGCTGTACTTGTGCAATTGGTTTTTCTTGCCTAAATGTAGAACATTGTTTTTTTCACCATTGAATTTCATTTTGTTAGATTGCGCCCAGTGTTCAAGTCTGTCCAGATCCTCCTGTATCTTCACTCACTTTAGAGAGGTAGACTTGCTTTGTAAGTCCCAGTTGCCAAGTGTCAGGATATTTTACGACATTCATCTTGGGAATCTGCTCCAGCCCTCAATATTTACTTTTCCTCGCCTGCTAGTTAAAGTTAACATCCTTTTCCTGTATCCCGGCATGAAGGCAGCTGATAAAAAAAAAGGCTGTGCTGTTCTGGGTTTGCTGATAAGTTGAAAGAAAAGTCCAAAAGTGAGACTTGCCCCCTTGAATCAACCGTGGCTCCTTCCCTATAATTCACGTACATACATCGCCCACACGGAGGTCCTCTGCGCTCTTTCACATTGTCATCTGACCTCTGACATTTCCACCAGAGCTGGGAGGGCCAACATTATATGTTTCCGCCCTTTGTTAGCAGCACTATTCCTTGTTCCGAGGTTTAGTTAAAGGAAAGAGGCAAGGCACGTTGTAGGGACAGAGTGATTTGAAGGCCAGTGAGGTCTGAAGAAGTTTTGAGAAGGACTGAAGATGCTGACTACAATCTTACTGCTTTGCGGGACTGTTGGGCTGCTGAAATCAGAGCCACATTCAAGGTATCCTGGTCATCACCACCAGAGGCGAGGGCCAGAAGCTCCTCAGATGCCTGCACCTCCACAACCATCTTCTCCAGCTGAAGAATTCTGGAGAAGAGAGTCCACCCAAGATGAAACTGAGCCAGAGATGGAGGAGTCTTACCCTGCAAGTCAGGAATCCAGAAATGAGTAAGTATTTTCCAAAAAAGAATCTGTCTTGTACCAATCTGCAATTATTGCAATAGTAAAGGTATAGGTTCTCCTGCTTGAGTAGGGGGCTGGACTAGAAGACCTCCAAGGTCCCTTCCAGCTCTATTCTATTCTATTCTATTCTATTCTATTCTATTCTATTCTATTCTATTCTATATTCTATTCTATTCTATTCATTCTGAATTCTATTCTATTCTATTCTATTCTATTCATTCTGAATTCTATTCTATTCTATTCTATTCTATTGATTCTGAATTCTATTCTATTCTATTCATTCTGAATTCTATTCTATTCTATTCATTCTGAATTCTATTCTATTCTATTCTATTATATTCTATTCATTCTGAATTCTATTCTATTCTATTTTCTATTCTATTCTATCCTATCCAACTCTTCATTCTGGAATTACAAAGAGAAAAACAGAGTGGGAAGGGACCTTGGAGGTCATCTAGTCCAACCCTCTGCTCAGGCAGGAAACACTATACCCTTCCAGACAAGTGGAAGTCCAGCCACTTCTTAAAAACTTCCAGTGTTGGAGGACCCACAACTGGGTGGACTTACATACCTTTTTTGTTTTTTGTTTTTGGAAAAGGGATGCTATTACTTCCAGAATTTTGATTGCATTTCACATCCATAGAACAAGTACAAATCTATTGTAGTGTGTCCTTCTTTTCATCTTGTAACCCTATTAGAATCCCCAAACAAGAAAACAGGGACCCGGATCTAAATCTCTGATTCTCAGACTTCTTTGTGCTGCTAGAAACCATCTGCATATTCTTGGTGGAGCCGGCAAATTACTGAAGAGCATCATTGTCTGTCCCACAATCAAAGGACACCCCCTCGTTCAAGTTGTAATAGGCCCAGAACACTACGCCTTCCCTGACCTAGTGCCCTCTAGATATGAAAACCAGGACATCCATCATCCTTGACCAATGCAGTCGGATGACGGCATTTAACTCTACTTAAGTGGGGACATCATTGAGAAAGTCCATTGCGGCCTTCAAATCAACGAAGCAGAGCTTAGATTTATTGGCTTGCGACAAATCACTTCTCATTTCATTCATTCGTTTATTCAGTTTGTGGACTTGCATGCAAAATACAGGAAGAAATTTTTTAAAAAGGATTGTGTTGTTGTTGAAGAGCCAATTTAAAAAAAAATGGAAAAGAGAGTAATTTATTTTTAAACCCAGGAGTAGATCCAGGAGTAGATTATTTTTCTTGCTGGATCGGAATTTGGCTTCTGGTCGTAAAGATAGCAAAGCAGAATTTGGCCACTGCCAGAGATTGTATCGATCCGCCAGCAGTAGCTGAATGTAAAAAAGATTTATTGTGAGAAGTCCACTAAAAAGGGATGCGATATTCCCATTCCTAATATCCTTGTGGAAGAGGCAGTGTAACAAACCATGGTTTGAGGATTCCATTGTGTTCCATCCACAAGGATATAATATGTTATTATAATATAATGCAGCCAACACAGTGCTGGGCTGCATTAACAGAGGGATAGAATCACAATCATGTGAAGTATCAATACCACTTTACAAAGCCTTGGTAAGGCCACACTTGGAATACTGCATCCAGTTTTGGTCACCACGATGTAAAAAAGATGTTGAGACTCTAGAAAGAGTATAGAGAAGAGCAACAAAGATGATTAGGGGACTGGAGGCTAAAACATATAAGGAACGGTTGCTGGAATTGGGTATGTCTAGTTTAACGAAGAGAAGGACAAGGGGGGACATGATAGCAGTCTTCCAATATCTCAGGGGCTGCCCCAAAGAAGAGGGAGTCAAGCTATTTTCCAAAGCGCCTGAAGGCAGGACAAGAAGCAACGGATGGAAACTGATCAAGGAGAGAAGCAACCTAGAACTAAGGAGAAACTTCCTGACAGTGAGAACAATTAACCAGTGGAACAACCTGCCTCCAGAAGTGGTGAATGCTCCAACACTGGAAGTTCTTAAGAAGAGTCTGGACAGCCATTTGTCCGAAATGGTGTAGGGTTTCCTGCCTGAGCAGGGGGTCGGACTAGATGACCTCCAAGATTCCTTCCAACTTTACTACTACTATTATTATTATTATTAAAGTCCAGATTGCTTTGTGAAAAAGCACCTTTGGGACATCCCTGACCTGGATGACTGAGAATCTCCCCAGACATGGGGTCTCTTATTGCTTTAAAGGAATATGCTCAGATCCAGCAAGGTGATCAAAGATGAAGCTAGCCTTCTGATGGAGGGCTCTGCCCTTTAGGATGTTTGCGTAGACCAGGCTGCAGGTGGCTTAGACAGAAATTCGTAATGGCAAAGAGGTGCTTGCAATTAATTCTGGGTGAGAGGCAGAAGCTCCAGGCTTCCTGTCTATGGGACTCTTCAAAATCCTTTTTTTGGGATTGGAGTCATCACCCGAGATAAATGCAAGGATCTAACTGCGGCTTTCATACATGAACACGGTGCCTGTGCTGGAATGACCTCTCAATTTTAGACGTGAGAATGTAACCAGAGGAAACGATTAAACGGCCAGATGGAGCCATCGACCAGCCGTATATAAATAAACCCAACTGAAATCCACATTTTCCCATACAAGGCCATATATATATAGCATTATCCTCCTGACTGTAATCTCACAACAGGTGGTGGAATGTATATTTGTCGGAGAAGGGATGTCTATTATTTCTATCCATTGCATCTTGGTTTCATGATCACTGATGGACTATCCGGGAAATGTAAAAAAAAAAAAAAAAAGCAACTTTGTGATGTGACCGGATATAAGGAAGTTCTATAGAAGCAGGAAATCTTTGAAGCTGCCCCTCACATCTCCCGCCGGAGTCTGCCTTAAGCAGAGGTGCAAGAAAGGAAGGTTAGACAGTCAGGCTTTCCATCCACAAAATCTTCTCATTTCCCACTGGAAACAACATTTTCCTTACACCCCACGCTACAAAACGTGGTCACAGAATTCTGAAATGTTCTCTCTTTCTAAGCAGGGCACGGTCTTCTCCTCAAATGTCTGCTCCTTTGCGTAAAACCTGACTTTTATTTGTAACTAGAGTTTCGTGTACGTTTCATTTGTTTTATTTATTAAACATAGCTGTACCCGGCCACGCGTTGCTGTGGCTCAGTTTTTACGTCCAACAGATGGCACTGTTTTTCAAAAAAAGCATGTTTTTACCTGTCACAGGTGTGACATCTATATAATATAGGTATATAAAAACATGCGCGTATTCGGATGCAACGTTGTGTCACAATTTCAAAGCAATCGGTGAAGAACTTTCAGAGATTTAAGATTTTGAACAAACGAACATTTACATTTTTATTTATATAGATGCCATTGCTGGTAATAGAAGCAATTTTGCCTGGGAATCTTAAAATGATTCTAGCATTGTCAAATAACTCAAAATGGGAAGCTGAAACGGGTGAGAAGATTTAGTTATTTACAAATGGTCACCAATACCTCTTTCTGGCATGGAGCAAAGGGTTGGACTTGATGGCTCAAGTGCCCTCTCCAAACTCTAGCAGTCTATGGGTCTTAGGAGAACCTATACCATTTCAGACAAATTACTATCTAGTCTCTTCTTGAAAACCTCCAGTGATGGAGCACCCACGATTTCTGGAGGCAAGTTGTTCCACTAGTTAATTGTCCTCACTGTTAGGAAGTTTCTCCTTAATTCCAGGTTGCTTCTCTCTTTGATCAGTTTCCAACCATTGTTTCTTGTCCTGCCCTCTGGTTCTTTGGAGAATAATTTGACCCCCTCTTCTTTGTGGCAGCCCCTCAAATACTGGAATAGTGCTATCATGTCTTCCCTATTTCTTCTTTTCTTTAGACTAGCCAAACCCAAGTCCTGCAGCCGTTCTTCCTATGTTTTAGTCTCCAGGCCTTGGATTATTTTAGTTGCTCTTCTCTGAATTTTTTCCAAACTCTCAACATTTTTTTGTGTGATATGGTGACCAAAATTGGCTGCAGTATTCCAGGTATGGTCTTACTAGGGTTTTATAAAGCGGTACTGATATTTCGTGTGTTCTTGATGCCATGCCTCTGTTTACACAACCCAGGATTGTATTAGCCTTTTTGGCTGCTGCTGCACACTGCTGGCTCATGGTCAAGTGATCGTCCACTAGGACTCCAAGGTCCCTCTCACAGTTACTGTTTTTGAGCCAGGTCTCGCCTAATCTGTACTCGTACCTTTGATTTTTCCAGCCTAAATGTAAATTTCACTTTTAAATGGATTTTCTTTCAATCTCAAGTCTCTCCAAAATGTGTCCTTTCCAGAAACTTGTTTGGTGAATGGCATTGTTTTCTATCTACTCCTTTAAATCCGATCCAGGATCTAGGATCGGATTTAGAACTGTAAGCTATGTTCAACCTGAATGGTTCCAGGATTCTTCCCTGTTGATGTGATAAATGTGGATAAAGGAGGAACTGAGGCAAGTTTTAGAAAAGAGGAAATACTGAATTATTCTAGTGTGAGGACAGTCTTGGGCTCCTGTCAGGAATCGAAATTTTATTTTAAAATTCGTCTTTCCTGGCCAGCTTCCTATAAAAGTTTTGAACTGGCTGATTTTGACCGTGGTCTTTGCCCGCCCCCCTCAAAATTCCTTAATACAGTCCCTGTTCAAGTTGAGCTCTCCTATATGGACTGCAAAATTTCAGATAACCACTAGGTGATATCAAAGGGCTAATATTTCCTGCTTCTCTTTGCTTCCAACTAATGTTCCTGAAGATCTGATAGCCTTTGTGAGAAACTGCACACTCTGGATATATAATAGGCATAAGGGAATTGATGATTCCTAGCTAAAAAGATCTGAAATGTTATTTCTGCTCCTCCATTGATCACAGAAACCTGAAGTGGGTTAGTGCATTAATACGATCTTAGGCCTTATTGAGATTCTAACCAAGAATGCTGTTCTTCATAGGGCACCAATCTACGTCTGTAGTTCAGAAAGAGGAGAGAAATTTGTGATTGCAGAGCAATAGCAATCCCTGGTCTATCATTT